AAAATAAAAAAATAAAATCTACTTTGATATCAAAAAAAAAAATGCCTGAGTATTAAAGGAACGAATCAATACAAACAGAATGCCCTGAGGCAAAGACTAAGAGATTTACAGTTTCCAAGCATTTAATCAAATCTCTGTTCTATCACTAGCTGACAATTAAGCTAACCAAGCAGATACTTGAATGGCCACACTTAGAACAGAGACTTCATGAAATTAGTTCAAAAAGTCATGATACAAACATAAACAAAAACAACCACAAACAGTAGGAACAGGAGAATCTCATTTCAAGAGCTGCCACACAATTATTTTAAATGTCCAATTATTATTTGAAATGTCCAATTTTCAAATAAATGTATGAGGCATGTAAAGAAACAAAGTATAGCACATACAAAAGAAAAAACACAATCAATAATAACAGTCCTTGAGGAAGCCTTGGTACACAAGATTTTTAATCAACTATTTTAAATACGTTCAAAGAACCGAAGGAAACCATGTGGAAGAACTAAAGGAAAGTAGAACAGAGTCTCATCAAATAGAGCCTATCAATAAATATATAGAACTTAAAAAAACAATCAAAAAGGAATTGGAATTGAAAAATATAATAACTGAAATGAAAAACTACCTAAAAGCACTCAACAGCAGACCTGAGTGGGCAGAAGGCATCAGTGAACCTGAAGACAGGTCATTTGAAACTAGTCTGAAGAGAAAGAAAAATTAATGAAGAAAATTGAACAGAGCTTCAGATATCTGCGGGACACCATTAAGCAGACACCAACACACGCACAATAGGAGTCCCAAAAAGAGAGGAAAGGAACAAAGAGAATATCTGATAAACTAATGTTCAAAACTCTCCAAATGTGATGAAAAAACAACTGCACATCCAAGAAACTCAACAAACTCCAGGGAAAAAAACTTGAAGAGATTGACATTTAGACAAATTAAAACTATTTAAACACAAAGACAAATTTTCAAAGCACCATGAAAAGATATGCTAATCAAGGAATCCTAATAAAAGATTTCTCATCAGGAACCATGGCACCAGAAGGATAACACACTTTTAAGTACTGAGAGTAAAAACACTATCAATCAAAAATTATATGTCCAACAAAACTATCCTACAAAAATAAAGGAGATATTAGGATAGTCCCAGATAAACAAAAATTAAGAGACTTTATAGCTAGCAGATGGGTCCCATAAGAAATGCTACAGGGCCTTTTTCTAGCTGAAATGAAAGGAGACCAGACAATTTTCAATTAAACGTGAAGAAATAAATAGCACTAAAAAGGCAACTATGTAAGAAAATATAAAAGATAGCATGTATTTAAGTTTTTTGTCTGTCATTCTTTTCCCACCTATTAGATCTCAAAGACACCAGCCAAAAAACAATGACCAATCTGTATTGATGGGTCTACCATTATAAAGATGTAATTTATATGACAATAATAGTACAAAGGAGAGGGAAAGGAACAGAGCTACACAGGAGCAAAGTTATTTGTGCATTATCAAAATTAAGTTATTACTCCAAAGAAGATTGATAAAATGTTAACTGTAATTGCCAGGGGAAGCATTAAGAAAATAACTTAAGGGGCGCCTGGGTGGCTCAGTCGGTTGGGCATCCAACTTCGGCTCAGGTCATGATCTCACGGTTCATGAGTTCAGACCCCACATCAGGCTCTGTGCTGACAGCTCAGAGCCTGGAGCCTACTTCGGATTCTGTGTCTCCTTCTCTCTCTGCCACTCCCCAACTTGTGCTCTCTCTCTGTCTCTCAAAAATAAATAAATGTAAAAAAAATTTTTTTTAAATAAAATAACTTAAGAAATATGTAATAAGAGATGCCAACAGTACACAGAAAACATCTATTTATCCAAAACACAGCAGTAACTGGAGAATAGAAGAACTAAAACATCATAAAAATATATAAAACAAATACAAAATAACATTCATAAATCCTATCTAAGCAATTATATTAAGTATAAATTAAACACTCGAGTCCAAAGATGAGTAAAATCAACTATATGCTATCTACAACCGACACACTATAGATTAAAAGATACAAAAAGGCTTAAAGTAAAAAGGATGGAAAAAATACCATGCAAAAAAAATAAGTGAAAGAAAGCTGAAATGTCTATATTAACATCTGATACAATAGACCTTAAGACAAAAATTATTACTAGCTGCAAAGGACATTTTATAATGACAAAAGGGTCAATTGGTCAAAAAGATGTAACAATTCTAAATATAAATACATATAAAAACAAGCTTCAAAATACATAAAGCAAAAACTGAAAGAACTGAAAAAAGAGAAAAAAAAAAAACAATTCAACATAGTACTGAGATATTCCAACATCTCACTTTCAATAATAAACAGAACAAGACAAAAGACCAAAAAGGAAAAAGAAAACTTGAAAAATACTAACAACCAACCAGACCTAACAGCCATCTATAGAATACTCCATCTAACAACAGCAGGATAAATACCCATGAAGCATTCTCCAGGTTAGAAAATGTTAGACTATCTGGGGTGCCTGGGTGGCTCAGTCAGTTAAGTGTCCAACTTCGGCTCAGATCATGATCTCACAGTTTGAGTTCAAGCTCCAGGTCAGGCTCTGTACTGCCAGATTGGAGCCTGAAGCCTGCTTCAGATTCTGTCTCCCGCTTTCTCTGCTCTTCCCTGTTTCTGTGCCCAAGCGTGCTTGTGCACTCACTCTCTCTTTCTAAGATAAATAAACTTTAAAAAAAATGTTAGGCTATAAAACAAGTCTCAATAAATGTAAGGGGACTGTAGCATCTGGGTGGTTCATTAAGTGTCTGACTCTTGATTCTGGCTCAGGTCATGATCTCACAGTTAATGAGTTTGAGCCCCCCACATCAGGCTCTGTGCTGACAATGCGAAGCCTGTTTAGGATTCTGTCTCTCTCCCTCCCACCCTCCTTCCCTCCCTCTCTTTCTCTCTCTCAAAATAAATAAATAAAGTTTAAATAGGGGTGCTTGGGTGGCTCAGTCAGTTAAGCGTCCGACTTCAGCTCAGGTCATGATCTTGCACCTTGTAAGTTTGAGCCCCACATCATGCTCTGTGCCTGAAGCCTAGTTAGGATTCTGTGTCTCCTTCTTGCTCTGTCCTTTCCCCACTCGTGCTGTTTCTGTCTCTTAAAAATAAAAAACCTTAAAAAAATTTTTAATAAAGTTTAAATAAACGTAAGGAAACTGAAATCATACAAACTATGTTCTCTAACGACCTTACAATGAAATAAAAAACCAATAACAAATTTCCAAAACTCAAAAATACAGAAGGAAATTCACAAACACACTCCTACCTAACAACAGGTTCAAAGAAGAAATCACATAGAAAATTAGAAAATACACCGAGATGCATGAAAACAAAAATACAACATGCCAAAACATGGGAACCACTGAAGCAATGTTCAGTGGGTCTTTATAGCTAGCTGTAAACCCATATTAAAACAGAAGAAAGAACTCAAATCTAACCATTCACCTTAAGAAGCTTAAAAAAAATTTTTTTTTAATTTAAAGAAGAGCAAATGAATCCAAAGCAAGCAGAACAAAGTGATAAGCATGAGAAGGGAAATAAAATAGGCAACAGGAAACAGAAAAATCAACCAAAACTTGGTCCTTTCAAAAAATCAACAAGATTGACAAACTCTTATCTAAACTGACCCAAAAGGTGGGGGAGATTGCTATGGTCTGAATGTGTGCGCCTCAAAGTCCTATCTTGAAATCTTAACCCCAAAAGGTAATGGTATTAGGAAGTGGGGCCTTTGGGGTTGATTAGGTCATGACAGGTAGAGCCCTAATGAATGGGATTAGTAATCTTATAAAAGAGGTCCTACAGAGTTCCCTATCCCATTCCACCACATGAGGACCAAGCAAGAAGGTATGAGTAATGAACCAGGAAGAACTCTAACCAGAATGCAACCATGCTGTCACCTTGATCATTGACTTCTCAGCCTCCAGAACTCTAAGAAATAAATTCCTATTGTTTATAGCCTTCCCACGTTGAGGTATTTTATTATAGCAGCCCAAACAAAGATAGGAGTAAACCTCAAATTCAAGAAGAAAAGGGGAAACATTATTACTAGTCTTTTAGAAATGAAAAATATTATGAGGGAATACTATAATTTTTTTTGTCAACAAATTAGATGAACTAAATGAAACGGACAAATTCCTTGAAAGATAAAAACCTTCAAACCTGGCTAAAACGGAAACAAAAAATCTACAGAGACTTATAATAACTAAAGTGTTTGAATCAATAATCAAAACTTCCCCCAAAACCCTAGAACCAGATGGCTTCGCTAGTAAATTCTACCAATCATTTAAAACAGTACTAACCCAATCCTTCCCAAACTTTTCCCATCTCATTTTATGAGACAGTATTATCTTGATACCAAAACCAAAGACATCAGGAGAAAAACAAAAAAACTTACAGCAATATCCCTTATGAATACAGACATAAAAAAATCCTCAACAAAATACTAGCAACCCAAACGCAGCAACACATAATAAAGATTATACATCTATCCACAAATAGAATCCAGCAAAATAATAGTGAATTAGTTTATAAACTCTGGATCTTATTTATCTCCCTCCCATTGTTGAAACCATGCTATATCCCTACCATTCCATTAAAATGTGTTAGAAAAAGTTACTAATAATCTTCTCATGGCAGTATCTTTTAGCTCTACAAATCTTTATGAAGCTATTCTCTTCCTAAAACTCCCTTCCCCTCATTTCAAAAAACTTCTAATTTAAATTTCCTCATCTGCTAGCCACAGAAAAATTAACAGTCTTGAGTTCTAGTCCTAACCTGGAAGGTATTCATTACAATAATTTTAGCTATTAATTACTGAACTTTAATTATATAAGGACCACACTAAGCACTTTACTTTTTAAATTTTTTTTAATTATTTTTTTTTTTTATGTTTCATTTATTTATTTTTGAGAGTGGCGGAGGGGCAGAGAGAGGTATACAGAGGATCTGAAGCAGGCTCTGCGTTGACAGCAGTGAGCCAGATGTGGGGCTTGAACTCAGGAACCATGAGATCATGACCTGAGGTGAAGTCGGACGTTCAACTGACTGAGCCACCCACATGCCCCTATTTTTACTTTTAGAGAGACAGCAAGCTCAAGTGAGGGAGAGAGAGAGAAAGAACCCAAGCAGGCTCCATGCTCAGCACGGAGCCTGATGCAGGGCTCAATACCACAACCCTGGGATCATGACCTGAGCCAAAATCAAGAGTCAGACGCTCAACTGACTTAGCCACCAAGCTGCTCCTAAACACTTTATAAATGTTATTTCATTTACTCCTCCAAATAACTCTTGTCTTCTATCTGTATAATGGGAATGAATGTCAAAGAAACAGATGCCAAAGGCATAGTCAATATTTGAATGTAGGTCTCTTTTTTTTTTTATGTTTATTTATTTTTGAAAGAGAAGGGGCACAGACAGAGCATGAGTAGAGGAGGAGCAGAGAGAGAGAGGGGGCGGGGGGGAGAAACAGAATCTGAAGCAGGCTCCAGGCTCTGAACTGTCAGCACAGAGCCCAACGCGGGGCTCTAACTCACGAACTGTGAGATCATGACCTGGGCTGAAGTCAGATGCTTAACCAACTGAGCCACCCAGGTGCCCCTGAATGTAGGTCTCTTTAACTTCAAACTCTGATTCTTAACTTTATTTTGTCTCATTGTAGCATGAAGCAAATCATTTACTGCTCTTACATTTGGGTCTTTCTTTCCCCTGACATTTGGTTTCTTCATCCGTACAAAGTTACAGATATCATCTCTGAAGTCCCGTATACTTCATATAACAAAATTAAGTGCCTTATTAAAAATTTTCTCAAATTAGAAATAGAACACTAAGACATGGGGAAAAGCCCAAAGGCACAATGCTCACAAAAAGCAATAATCTGAGATACCACTGTTTTCCTGTTTGGACAGTTTGCCTAGAATTTAGAAATGGCAACAGTTCCACGTGCAGGCACACCTCGGAGATAACTGTTTGTGGGTTTCAGTTCCAGACCACTACATACAATAAAGCAAATATCAAAATAACATGAGGCAAATAATTTTTTTTGTTTCCCAGTATATATAACAGTTATGTTTACACTACACTATAGTCTTTTCAGTATGCAATAGCATTATGTCTAAAAAACAATGTATATACCTTAATTTAAAAGCACTGCATTGCCAAAAAAAAAATGCTAACCATCATCCAAGCTTTCAGCTAGTTGTAATCATGGATCACAGATCATGGTAACAAATATAATAATAATGTAAGAGTTTGAAATATTCCAAGAATTACCAAAATTTGAGACAGAGAGATACAAAGTGATCAAATGCTACTGGGAAAATGGTGCCAAAAGACTTGCTCAACACAGGGTTGCCACAAACAAATTTGTAAAAATCACAGTATCTATGAAGTGCAATGAAACAAGGTATGCTTGTACCCGTTAAAAAAAACTCCTAGCAGCCTCTGAAAAAGTGCAATGTTCTGCCAGTGATAGTAACAGCAATTATACATAAAGGGATTACACAGTATAAACTGAATTAAAAGTCATAATATACAAACATCCTAAAAGTTGATCTGCATAATACAAATGTTAACTTAATTAAATTATACTAATAAAAATCTGTACCGTTCATTATGCTCTTGATAAACGAGTCTGGACTTCTCCAGTAGATATTTTTCAACATAGGCACTAGAAGAAAAATAAAATTGGTTGATATAAACAATAAAGCTTAAGGTAGATAAACACTGTTTCATAGAAGATGCAAAAGTACAAAGAATACTATCCATATCATTTTAGTACATTTACCATTACAACTATTTTATAAATGCTGGTAATGTTATCTGCGTTAAATTCATAAACTCGTTAAGTCTTTGGCAGAGGGGAGTCAATAAATCAAAATAAAGTCACAAGTTCAAAACATGGCACAGAAGACCCACCCATGGCATAGACTTTACTTTCTTTCCAGGTTCATATACCACTACACATTCTTTTCAAAATATTTTAAAGTTTATTTATTTTGAGAGAGAGAGAGAGAGCATGAGCAAGGGAGGGGCAGAGAAAGAGAATCTGAAGCAGGCTCCACATTCTCAGCATGGAGTCTGATATGGGGCTTGAACTCACCAACTGTGAGATCATGACCGGAGCCCAAACCAGGAGTCGAGATGCTTAACTGACTGAGCCACCCAGGCAACCCTTTGTGTTTTTTTTAATGTTTATTTTTTGAGAGAGAGAGACAGAGACAGAGACAGAGAGACAGAACACGCACTTGAGTGTGAGCAGGGAAGGGGGTAGGCAGAAAGAGAGGAGACCAAGGATCCAAAGCAGGCTCTGTGCTGACAGCAGAGAGCCCAATGCAGAGCTCGAACTCAAGAACCGTGAAATCATGACCTGAGCTGACGTCAGACACTTAACTGACTCAGCCACCCAGATACCATGCCACTGCACATTCTTTCAGATATTATACTTTCGTCAGATGCCTAAATAAGGCTCAAAGACACATTTCTTAACATACTCATGCTACTACCACATTCTGGAATCTATTCATTTATTATTTACTCAGTAAGTATTCATTAATTGGGCACTGTACTAAGCACTGTTCAAATATGAAAATACTGATGTACTATCTATTCTCAAGAGGCTTACAAACTAGTGGAGGAAATAAACAAGGAGCTATCATACTGAGTTGGTATAGGGTTTATTATAGAGCAATGACCACGATATTATAGATATACCAAGAGAGATAGATAAGACTCAATCCAAGAAGGAAAAAATTACATAAGGAACAATTCATATAGAGGTGATTTCCCAGCACATAGTAAACATTCACAAAAACTATTTGATGACTGACTAAATGACTCTAAAATCTGAAAGACTGACCAGAAGAAGGCAAGGAGAACTGCATTGTATAAACGCATAAAAGGAGGGTACTTAACATCAAGGAAGATAATTAGTTAACATGGCTAAAGAATGATACAGACAAGTGGAGTGGATCAAGAAGAACCAATATACCATATGCCAGAAGAATGGATTTTACCCTAAAAGTAATGAGGAATTGAAACATAAACATCTGATACGTCATTCTCTTTATCCAGCCTGTACCCCACCACTTCAAGTCTTCAATACCTATTACCAAACTGAAGCAATTAGTTAAGCTCCCACTGCAAAAGAGGCTCCTATGGTCTGAAATTTAAAGGCTTTAGCCTACTAAATCCAAATTACTTAGCACAAACCTCTGTGGGGTCAAAATCTGACTTTGGAGCTTTTATTGCCATCAGTTCCCTCCCACTGCATGCTCAGTATTTCAGTCACTCCCACATACAGGTTATTTCCACAAGCACACCATTCACTCCTGACTGCATTGTTCATGCTCTTCTTTCCACTTTTAATTCTACAGTCTATACCCACTCTTTATCCAATAGGTTCCATCCATTGGATGGAAATGAAAATGAAAATGAAGCTCAAATGTGCCTTCTTTGTAAGCCCATTATCACTACCACTACCAGCAATTAAAAATGCATCATTTCCTCTGAATAAACATCATCACCTCTAAACTACTGAAACAGGGTCTTATCTGTATAAGATGGGACAAAGAGAACTAACATAAACTAGTATGTTAAATTCTTTTATTTTATTTGACTATGTCAACATTTAGTTGACAATGTTACATTAGTTTCAGGTGTTCAGGTATACAACATAGTGATTCAACAAGTTTATACATTATACTATGCTCACCACAAGTGTAGCTACGGTTCCTCACTACTACAGTATTATTGACTATATTCCCTATGCAATGCCTTTTAGTCCCATGACTTACTTATTCAATCATAACTGGCAGCCTTCACTCATTTTGCCCATTCCACCACCCTCCTCCCCTCTGGCAACCATCAATTTGTTCTGTGTGTTTATAGGTATAAATCTGCTTTCTGTTTACTCATTTGTGTTTTAGATTCTACATAGTATATGAAATCCTTACACCCACTCTGCATGGCAAATATTACTGACTATTTCATAAGTGGAGAAACTGATGCTCAAAGATATTCAGATCATGCAGCTAGTAAAGAGCAGAACTATGACTGGATACCAGATCTATTTTAACTAAAAGCCTCTCTCTTTCAGCTATACCAACATACTCCTAGACATCTCTCCTTCCTCCCCTCTAATCCATAAGTTATACTGCTCTGAGAGTTATTTACCTATAAAATAAGATCTACTCATTTTATTCCTCTTTCACTGCTGCTCATACTAAAGTATGTATGGGTAAACTGATGTTATATCTACCTGGGACTGTTTTTTAAAATACATCAGCAAGAAAAAGAAAAAAATAGATGAAGTATATATGGCAAAACAGGATAACTGTTTAATCAAATGGGCATTCCTTGTACTATTCTCTTTACTTCTATGTTTGACATTTTATATAATAAAATTTTTAAAATCTCCTTCCCAATGTCAAAAGGGTAAATTATAAACATTGGAGCTTTATTCAGAATCTGAAACCAATTGACCATTATAGCCTCTGAACTTCTCAAGTACACCAAGCTCTTGTTATGATTCCATTCATTTCCTCAATCAATAATGTGATTTATCACTTTTTCTTCTTAGCAATTTTTCAAGACCCAAGATAAAAATCCTTTTTTGTGAACTCTCCCAGACGCGTGCTTTAATCACTGTACTTACCTCACTTACTGTAATCCTCTTATGTAAACATGTCTTCCCAAAAAGACTATGAGAATTTTAATGGCAGAGGACAAGTGTATATATTTTTTTTTTGTCCTCAACACTTGGCACAGTGCCTGGTACTAGAAATGAATTCCATAAATGTTTGCCCAATGAATGATAAAATGAAAGAAAAATGTTTAACATATATTTGCTAAGAGTTAGAAATTTTTGAAATGAAAAAAATTTTTTCAATATGTATCTGTTGACTTACTACTCAAGATAAAGATTTTTGTTCATCACTGTTGTAAGAGAAAAGATTAACCATTTTAGGTAATCACTTAACATGTAAGAGCCAGGATTTCATTCATAAAATGGGAAAATAAACATCTGCCATTCCTACTTCATGAAATTGTCTTAGGAATCAATGAATATATATAATGATATTTTGTAAGTTACAAAGCAATATATACTACTGTACCTATTATCAACCTCTCCTGCATCACAATCATAAATACTAGAAAAGTACAACTTGACAACTTGACTGCATCCCATTTTTATTAGTAAGAGTACCAACTGTACCTTTGGAAACATAGTTTTAATAAGAAAGGAAATAAGTTATGAAACTTATCACTGAAGAAGGATTTATCCTTCTTGTTTTGTTTTTGTTGGCAGGGGGAGAATGTACATAGTTTTGGTCAAAATTTTAAAATTAAAAGAAGTAAAATAGTAAGCATAATTAAAATAGCCTAAAAAAGAAAAAGACCAATCTCACTTATTAATATGGACACAAAAATCATAAATAAAAACTAGAAAACAGAATAGAACCAATTTATATGTGTCTACAAAAATATGTTTGTGTACGTATGTATGTGAGTGCGTGTGTACGTATCATTTTGTACTGACCAAGCGGGACTGTTTTCCCAGGAACACAAAATGATTCAATATTAGGAAAATAATGATAACACTGATAGATCTCAGAATGAAGATTATGCTAATCTCCACAAATGTGAAAAATGCATTTGATAAAATGCAATATCATTTTGTTACTCAGAAAACCACTCACAGAAAATTTAAATCGATACTAATCCATTAATGTGATAAAATGTCCTAAAACCAGCATTTTACTTAGTGGAAAAAAGTAAAGTCATTCATATGAAGGTGTGAAACAAAATTACTTGGAATCAGACAAGAGAGAAGATTACTAAAGATGTAAGAGCAGAAAAAAAGGTAAAAATATCTATTTTTGCATATATACCAAGAAAAGGTAAGAGATACAACAGTAAAATGCAAAAAATAAAATAGTAAGATACAAATATAAAAATCAGTAACTTTCATATATATCTTCAAACAACTAGAAGATATAATGCAAGAGAAAAATCACACTTTTAATAACAACATTAAAATACTTAGGAATAAATAAGAAATACAAAAACTTAAAAGCATTTCTAAATAGCCCAAGATGTCAATTATCTCCAAATAAATACATACATTTAACATTAGCCCAATAAAATCAAGCATGAAAGGTGTGGAACAAACTTTAATACAAAGTGCTAAGGCAAAGGGGGTGCCTGGGTGGCTCAGTCAGTTGAGCATCCGACTTCGGCTCAAGTCATGATCTCAAGGTTCATGAGTTTGAGCCCTGTGTCAGGCTCTGGGCTGACAGCTCAGAGCCTACACCCTGCTTCAGAATCTGTGTCTTCCTCTCTCTGCTCCTCCCCCTCTCACACTCTGCACCCCCCCCCCAGCTCCGCCCTCTCTCTCTGTCTCTCTGTCAAAAATAAACATTTAAAAAAAAATTTTTTTAAGTACTAAGGCAGAGAATCCAAACTGTAAAGACCATACACTATATGATTCCAACTATATGACATTCTGAAAAAGGCAAAACTTAGGGGTACTATAAAAATATAAGTGGTTGCCAAAGGTTAGTGAGTAAAAAGGGATGAACAGGCAAAACACACAGGATTTTTAGGGCAGTAAAGCTACTCCATATGATACTGTAATGGTGAATACATGTCTTTATACAATTGTCAAAATCCACAGAATATACAACACAAATGGAACACACCAATGCAAGATGTTCTTAACATGGGAAACTGGGGGATAGAGTAAAGAGGTATATGGGAACTCTGTACTTTTTACTCATTTCTGCTGTGACCCTAAAACTGCTCTAAAAATAAAGCTTATTAGTTATTTTAAAGTTAGGAAGTATATTGCTGACACAACCAGAGGTACTCTGATTACACACTATGTAAGAAATGTTACTGGAGGGGCACCTGTGTGGCTCAGTCAGTTCAGCGTCCAACTTCGGCTCAGGTGATGATCTCACATTTCCTGAGTTCAAGCCCCACATCAGACTCTGTGGTGACAGCTCAGAAACTGGAGCCTACTTCGGATTCTGTGTCTCCCTCTCTCTCTGTCCCTCCTCAGCTTGCACTCTGGCTCTCTCTCTCTCTCTCTCTCTCTCTCTCTCAAAAATAAACAAACATTACAAAAAAATTGTTTTAATGTTATTGTAACATATTTAATTTCTTAAAAAGTATTATATAGGAAAATGTGGCTGTGATTCCTGTGTGGGGTCAAATTATATGCCCAACTTACTCAAAAACAATTTTAAATGAATGTATGCATAACACACTGAGATAAAACAAATGCAGCAAATTGTTGATAATTAATAAATCTACATTAAGAATATGTAAGTGCTAATGACAAAGAATGAAATCATGCCATTTGCAGCAACGTAGATGGAACTGGAAGGTATTATGCTGAGTGAAAGAAGTAAGTCAGAGAATGACAGGTATCATATGTTTTCACTCATATGTGGATCTTGAGAAACCTAACAGAAGACCATGGGGGAAGGGAAGGGGAAAAAAATATTACAAACACAGAGGGAGAGAGGCACACCACAAGAGACTCTAAAATACAGAGAACAAACTGAGGGTGGGTGGGGAGGTGGGGGAGAGGGGAAAATGGGTGATGGGCATTGAGGAGGGCACTTGGGATGAGCACTGGGTGCTGTAAGTAAGCCAATTTGACAATAAGTTATATATATTTTTTTAAAAAAGGTATATAAGCGCTACACTATTCTTTGAACTTTTCTCAGGCTTGAACTTTTCCAAAACAAAAAAAAGTTTAGAAGAAAAAACTTAGTAGACACCAGTTTCACTATGCTCATTAAGAGTAAATGAATAATCTACGGATTATGAAGAGACAATGGTAAAAATACAAACATACTCCAAAGCCTATTACTGCTACTTACCCAAGTACAGTGCCAGTTTCTTGGTAATTTACTTGAATAAACTTGCCAAAACGACTTGAATTGTTATTATGAGCTGTCTTTGCATTTCCAAAGGCCTGTCAAAATAAATAGTTCTTGTTAATTTCATTTTAAAAATGGAAAATCTTACTTAGGTCAACTCAAAGATACAAAATGCAAGAGACAGTAGAAAAGCAATTTTCTTTAACTTCAGACTCCTATGGTTTAGGTAAAGTAAAAGAGAAAAACTAATAGTTGAAATAAAACCAAGTAGGAAGAGTGGCACCTGGGTGGCTCAGTTGGTTAAGCGTCCAACTGCAGCTCAGGTCATGTCTCACTGGAGCCTGCTTCACATTCTGTGTCTCCCTCTCTTTCTGCCCCTCCCCTATTCACGCTCTGTCTCTCAAAAATAAATACATGTTGAAAAAAATTTTTGAAAAAACAAGTATTTTATGCTTTTCAGTAAAATAAATCTTAATTAGGTGTGCCTGGGTGGCTCAGTCGGTTAATTGTCAGACTTTGGCTCAGACGGTCCAAGAGTTTGAGCCCTACGTCAGCCTCTGTGCTGATAACCTGGAGCCTGCTTCGAATTCTGTCTCCCTCTCTCTCTACCCCTCCCCAGCTCATGCTCTCTCAAAAATAAATATTTTTTTAAGAAGTTTAATAAATAAATTTTAATTATAAAGATTTAACACTCCTTAAAATTAACTTTTACATCCCAGAGCCAGCAAACTTTCTTACTATATTTCAATATATAATTTTTTAGATCTTACTAAATTAAATAACGAGGAGATAGAAGCAGAATAATTACATCAAAATAATTACAACTTTAGGGGTGCATAGATTGCTCGATCGGTTAAGTGGCCACTCTTGATTTCAGTTCAGATCATCATCTCATGGTTCATGAGATAGAGCCCTATGCTGGGCTCTGAGCTCAGAGACAGCACAAAGCCTGCTTGGGATTCTCTCTCTGCCTCTCTCTCTTTGCCCCTCCCCTGCTCACGTGTGTTCTCTCACTCAAAATAAATAAACATTTAAAAAAAATAATCGCTATTTTGGAATAGTATAAATGAAATAAGGTTTCACTACATAATGTATTGCACTTTATTACATCAACTTAAAATAAAGTTATAGTACTATTTATAAAAGAATATATTGTTACCGAAGTATACACAATGCAGTGAATATTACCCAGCAATAAAGATGATACATCAACACTGATGAATATCAAAACATTACGCCACATAGAAGAAATCAGACTCAAGAGTACATACTGTAATATGAAATTTTAGAAAAGGCAAAACAGTAATGGGAAGAAGATCAGAGTTGTCTGGGAATGAGGGTGTGGTTAGGCAATGTCTACAAAAGGGCACAAGGAGTAATGAAAATATTCTACAGCTTGTGTAATAATGATGGTTACGTTAAATGTATACACATTTATCAAAAATCACTGAAGTATAAATTTTAAATGGCTACATTTTATTCTAAGTTACATCCCAATAAAATTTATTAAAATTTATATTTAAAAGAAATAATCCCTGGTTGAATTCACATATTCAACAACTTGAATGAATCTTTAAGACATAATGCTGAATGAGAGAAGCTAGTCCCAAAACTGTACTTAGCGTGTGATTCCATTTCTGTGACATTTTCAAAACAACAACAGAGGATACGTAGTCTTCACGGATTATAGGAGTATTGGAGGGAAGTCAGAGGGTTTGAAGATAAAGAATAGTGTGAGGGAGTTTCAAGAGGTAATGGGTACTCAGATTGTATACAGATGGTTACAAAAATTAACAGGTTTTAAAATTCATACAATTTTACTATAAGGTTATTCTTTTAATTTTAAAGGCCAAAGAAAGACAATTTCTGACATCTAAATCTGAAAATACTCATCATAGGCCAAACCACATTAAAAGGAACATTAAAGGAAGTCCTTAATGCAAAAGGAAAATATCATATTCAAATATGGATCAACATATGGAAGGAATGGAGAACAGCAGAAATGGTAACCAGAAAGGTAAACATAGAAAGAATTTTTTATTACTTAAATCTTCTGAAAAGATCATTGAAAGTAAGGTCAGAGAAATGATAAAGATCTCTGAAAATTCTCTTTTTCATATGAGAAATAAAACCAAAAAAATTATCCAAATCAACTTTTTGACAACTCTAGAAATTAACCAAAGGGTTGCAATAATCCTTTGAGGGGAAAACAGATGAATCTCAGTAAGAAAAAAGGCATTGTGGCATTTTAACTTAGCCAATTACCATCTCCCTCTCCCTAGCTCCATGCTGAAGAGAAAAGCAATGCCCTATAATTATAGTCTGTTTCAAAGGCAGCCTAAAAGCCATTGAAGGATCAAAACAGGATTATAGCCAAAGCCCCATCCCACAAGTAACTGTCAGAATTTGAGCAACATGGTATTTCACTGGGAAACCTCACTCAAAGGGTTATCTTTACTTGAAATAACTTGGAAAGCACTCACAAGGAACAGCCTTTTCACCCATGTATATTTGTGAAAATCAATCAGAGGCAATTGATTAGAACACTGCAACTGCCTAAGGTACGAATAGGAGAATGGGGCAAAAAATGAGGTAACCAAACAACTTAAGAACTTCACACACACACACACACACACACACACACACACACACACACACACTGGAAACCTTATTGCTTCAGGACATTTTTTTAAAATCTTTGTCCAATTATTACCTGACCACTAAGCTAAATGAAGAGAGAATGTAAAGCCCTCACAGAAAAAAAGAACAGACCTCACAGACTAATTTCAAAGAAGTCATGGACAACCAAACAGCAATAACAAAACAACCACCACAAATCCTGGGAGGAGGTAAATACCTCATTTCCAAAACTGCCACATTGTATTAATAAAAATGCCCACTTTTCACCAAAACATTATAAGACATGCAAAAAAGAAAGAAAGTAGGGACACAAAAAAATTTTATAAACACAATAACCAGAAATTGTCTCTGAAAAAGCCCAGATGTTGGACCTCCAAAGCCAAAACTTTACATCACTATTTTAAATACTTTCAAACAATTATAGGAAAATATGACAAAGGTGCCTTAACAGTAGAGAATATTAGTGAAGGCAGAGAAATTATAAAAATTCCAGTACTAAAAAGTAATTAACTAAGATAAAAAATGCACTGAAGAGGCTCAAGTAGAGATATGAACAAGTAGAAGAAATCACAAAACTTGAACACTGATCAATTGAGATGATACCTAAGGAATAGCAGGGGGGAGATAAACAAGAAATGAACAGAGTGAGCTTCAGACACGGGTGGATCACCATCAAACATGCCAATATATGTATATAATGGGAACACCAGAAGGAGAGGATAGAGAGGAAAACACAGAATCAATATTTTAACAATGAATAGCCCAAAACTTCCAAAATTTCATGAAAAACACTAATCTATATATCTAACAACCTTCACAAATTCAAAGTATGAAGAATAAGTACTTAGACAAATAATGATCAAACTGCTGAATGACAAAAAGTGTTTCTTAAAAGCAGTGAGAGAGATGCAACACATACCATATATAGGTTCCTCAATAAGCATAACATCGAATTTCTCCAAATAAAACATCAAGAATAGAAGAGAGTGGAGCTATATATTCAAAGCACTGAGACAAGCCGGTCAACCAAGAATTCTGTGTCCCATAAAACCGTCTTTAAAAATTAAAGGAGAAATTGAGATATTTAAATGAACAAAAACCAAAAGAATCCATTAGGCAGCAAATGGTCCTTACAAAGCAATACTAAATGAAATAATATAAGCTGAAATGAAAGGACACTTAATAAAGCAAATCTATATGAAGAAAAAAAGAACACATGTTGGTAGTAATCCAAACTGAATTGTTATGTTAATTGGAATGCTCATGAATACTGCTAAAACAAACAAGCAAACAAGAGATAACAAAATTAAAATGGTATGCTAGAAAACATCTCCTTAACATAACAGAAGATAATAATGGAAGAATACAAGAACATTAAAAAAATTATTAAAAATCAAATGGCAGACACAAATCCTACATTAGTAATTACATTAACTGTAAATGGCTTAAACATTCCAGTCAAAAAGCAAGTAACTGGCAGAAAAGATGTTTTTTTTTTTAAATGACCCAACTCCATGTTTTCCCCAAGAGACATACTTCAGGTGCAAAGACACAAACAGGTTCAAAGTAGATCTGTATCTACTTTAAAAATTCAAACTTTGTTTAAAACTTTACTGCAGGGTACCTGAATGGTTCAGTAAGTTGAATTTCCAATATATCCGAGGATTGTGGGATCAAGACCCGCATGGAGCCCTATGCTGAGTGTGGAGCCTGCTTACGATTCTTTCTCTTGCTCCCTTTGTCCCCCTTCCCTGCTCTCTCTCTCTAAATAGATAATTACATACATACATAAATACATAAAACTTTCCTACAAAGAAAACACCAGGCCTGGATTCCATCATATCAATCCTAACACTGATAGTAGGAGGAAAAAAGAAGTTCTACACAAACTCTTCCAAAAATATAAAACACCCCAACTCATTCCCATATGGCCAGAATTATCCTGATTAAAAAAAAAAAAAGGCATTAAAGAAAACAATATTTCTCATGACCACATATCGGTAATTCTAAACAAAATTTTAGCAAACCAAATCCAGCAATACATTAAAGGATAATGTATCATGACAATTGGTGTTTATCCCCAGAATGCCAAAATGGTTTACCAATCAAAAATCCATCAATATACAGGAAGAACAAATACTGCTAAAATGTCAACACTACCCAAAGCAATCTACATATTCAATGCAATACCTATCAAAATAACACCAGCATTCTTCACAGAGCTAGAACAAACAATCCTAAAACTTGTATGGAACCAAAAAAGACCCCGAATAGCCAAAGCAATCTTGAAAAAGAAAACCAGGGGCGCCTGGGTGGCGCAGCCGGTTAAGCGTCCGACTTCAGCCAGGTCACAATC